CAGAACAATACACTGGTTTCCCCAAAGATCACTACACACTAGAATTCCGAGTACCTGACAAAGCTCTAAGATAAAGGGGTTTTAGAGTCCCTGTTTTTCCTAGCACAAGAGCCTCCCACTTCCGGTCCTGGATCCACCACACAGACAGTGCCAGGTCCACTCAAGAATTAAATCTGTTACATAACCACATGGCAGACATGGGGGTGAATGGAGAAGCCACCTGAGGATGGCATTTGGCCACTCTTAGTCTCCCAAGGAGATAAATGGCCTGAGAGATAGAACTTTTCATCTCCTTATGAGCCTCCCTCGATATGAAAACTTTCCTTCATCTCCTCTCCTTGGCGCTTTCTATATTTTATTTTATTTTGGCCCTGCACATTATTTGAAGTTACTATAGCAACATGTCACCAGCTGGTATCGCGTAGTAATGTTGGCATTTAGGTAGCAAGCTCCCAAAGTTAGCTGCTTCCCTCCTTCTGTGAGCTCATCCCTCCCACAATTTCAGGTGAGTGGGGGACGCATCTGCAGCAACCAGGCCCCTCTCCCCCTTGGTTGCTTGGTTTTCAAGGCAGGGCAAACCGATTGCCTCTTCCTGGTCCATTCAGCACTGCTGAGGTCTTGACTGTGTGTGAGTGTGTGTGTGTGTGTGTGTGTGTGTGTGTGTAGGTGTGTTTGCCTTAGAGGTGGTTAAATAGATATGTTTAAGTTGGGTGACGTGCACCCAACTATTGGCCTTATCAATATGAGGATATGATGATGATTTTTTTTTTATGCAAAGGAGCCGAATGATTAGGGGAGGGCTACTCTCCTGATCCTAATCACCTAGTATCCCAGCTGATGAATATTAATCACAGGATACTGGGTTTCTCTTTTCTCTTTTGCCATCTCACAGTGAAGAGACCCTGACTGTTTTCCTTTGGAGCTTCAGTGCTCTCTCAGGTGTGTGAGACCTCTCTCCATACTGATGCGCTGAATTAATTAAGAGGACTGATTTTCGCGGATCGCTGAAGAGGGTTCTATGTGGCAAATAAGCCCTGCCACTCAAGGCGTTAAGTAGCCCCTCATCAGCCAAGTGCCTGCGATGATTGCACTTATTTTTACACGTTTGACCTAGTTTCAAACCGTGTCTCTTCATGCTGTGATTCATTAGCTACATTTTAAACCGCCCCGAACTGAGCCGAGGTGACTCTGCCTGGTTTGTGCCAGTGTCTCAGATACAATTTCTCTCCGGGATTTAAGATGCAGGTCCCCATGGTATTCTGTTTTAAGAAGCAATTTCCCATCCAGGCACCCGCCACGCTGCTTGGCTTTGGATGAGTGGCTGCCTCATGCCTTGATAGTAAATATATGTCATCTATACGGTTTCTGCCCGGGATGGGAAGAGGGGATTCTCACCAGCCTGGATTGCAGGGGACCCCTCCACCCTGCTGTCCCCCATGCAGTACTCAGGCTTGCCCATGTTGCCGACAGGACTGGGAGATTTGGCTCCTACGCTATAAAGTTTGAGCAACGTCAATGTGAGGAGTGTCTGAGTTGCTAGTGCAACTCCCCCCCCCCCCATTCCTCTGTCTCTTTCTAAACATTTAAAACATGGTGGATATAGAAGTAAGGTCTCAAACTCATAGAAAGGGAAGGCGGCAGGAAGCAAAAGGTGGATTGCCATGTTGAAGATAATACTGAAAAAAGGATAAACGTCAGAGAGGCATAATGTTATTCTATCATTCTCTCGTTATGTGACAAAGAGGGGTTTTTTTTTTTTTTGCTTTGTTATTTGTTTTTTAATATAAATGACAGAAAGGAGCCTTTTCTGAATACGAACCTGCTGCTTGCGTCTCATGCCATTTCACTAATCAATCGATCACATCAGTGTGATTTCTGACAGATTTGGTGCTAAGGTGGGCTAGACACCAGAGTGGGAAAAAAGGGGTTCTTCCAGACAGATGTAAAACACTGTCCTTTTTCATTAACAGCCAAATGCAGGCAACTTGTCCAAACTTCAGTCACATTGCACTACAAATCATGCTGTAAGGCACTGAGCTGGATTTTTCTATGTGGTAGTTAGAAGGAAGAAATGAACAAGCTGGTAAAAGTAATTTTGATTGGCTGGTGGACTTTGACACACTGAGCAGGTCCTTATAAAAAATAGTGGTTTCTTTCATAAAATGGTCACTTTCTCTAGATGAGGACCTTTTATTTTCTTTTAAAATGAAGCATGGAAGTTTCTCTAAACAAGACTTAAGACAATGCAGCCTTTTCAAGGTAATTCCAAGCAACTTGATCTCTGAGGTTTGTTTTTTGCTTTTTTTCCCCCCACTTCAAATTCAAATCAAGCCATTGGAAATAACAAGCACTCCGTATCTATGCATTTGGGGCATCCTGCAGTTCTGACAATGGTAGATTTTCCACCACACACACACACACACACACACACACACACACGCTCACAATCCGATAACTCATTTAAGCCAAAGCTTTAAAAGTAAACTATTGTCCAAGAGGCGATAGCATTTTCTCTTAGAAGATCATGGATCACAAAAAATAAAACCTACCCAAATCTCTTACCTTGAAGCAGTAGAATTACCTGCAGAGATGTCCTCCTTTTCCTTGCAAAATGAGCCAGGCTTTGGCCAGCAGCAGAATTACTCCAAAAGAAGGAATAATGGGTCCTTTATGTTGTAATTTTCACTGTTTATATGCAAGAAGTGTAGTGGGTCTGCTCACGTAGGAATAAATAAAAAGCCGAACAAACTGCTCGGCAGCTACCATGTGAAAAGAAAAGACCTCTAGTGGTCACAGGCTGAATTCTTTGAGGAAAGGAGAGAAGAGATGGAGGGAGTAGAGGAAACACACGTGTGTGTGCGTGCACACACACATGCACACACACACCTCTCGAACTCTAAGATTTCTCCTTTCTGCCATCCAGCCTGGCCAGAGCGATACACGATGGTTTAAGAGGGACCTGGTTAAGTTAACAGCGATGGTGGTGTTCTGTCTGGTTTGAAAAGAACCAATAATTTCACAAACTCATCACCACCCCCTGGGGGTCTGAGCAGGAGAGGCTTTGCCTCCCTGGATGACCAGGACGGTTCATCCCAGTGTAGAGGCTCCAGGTCCCCATCAGCATAGCATCTTCACTGTTGCTCCCAAGAGTCCCAGCTTTACACTTTCTGCCAGCTTTGCATGTTCTCTAAACATTTATGGAGTGTGAGCGCGCTGGTGGCCACCGGCAGGCAGGGCTGGCTTGCTGAGTGTATGACCTGGCCTGGTGCTTAGAATGGCACCTGGGGCTGTCGTGAAATTCTGAATAATTTTTAACAAGGACTCTTCATTTTCATTTTGTTCTGAGCCCCACGAATTATAATGCTGGTCTTGCTGACAGGGAAAGCTTGTTATTCCTAATATCCTAATTGGGAAAAAAAACCTTTAAAAGCAAATGAGACTCCTGATCTCTGGGAGTTACCTTTGGGAATGTGAACTTGAGGAACATTCAGTTATCCAAAAGACTTCCTGTGAAGGAACACAGAAGGAGCTTCTTGGGACAGTGAGGCTGTTCCTCCACCACTGTAACTAAACTGTAGAGCAGTAACCTACAAGCAGTTGTATTTTTTTTATATGTGTGTTTTATATACATATATATTTTTTCATATGTGTTCTTTATATATATGTGTGTGTATATATTATATATATAAATATATATATTATTATTTTTTAAACAAAAATAGCAGTTTGTGATACCAAACCCATTTTCTTGGTTCACACATAATATTTCCAGGCCCACCTCTCTGGTATGCCTTTTGTTGGACACCCTTTAGCAGTAGGGTTCCCTGGAGAGGCCTGCATCACATTGAGCAGACCATCTTCCACAAGCCTGCCCTTGACCAAACCTAGTGGGACTGCCTTTGACCAAGATGGCAGCCCTATTGGAATCTTGCAGGAGACAATCTTGCGTGGCTCCTCTCCCCTGGTGGATTTATGGTTGGTACCTCCTTTACAAGGTTTCCAGAGTAGATATCCCTAAATGCTGCTTGCAGACACTAGCCTAAAATAGAAAATGTACCCTGATATAGACTGATAAGATTTGGGAGGGAGAAGGCAGAAAGGGCTGTGTGATGTATTCTGGTACATGAAGGAATGTGGTTCTTGCTCCTCTGATCCCCTGGAGCCTTCCAGACCCACATCTTCTCCACATCCTTTTATTGATTCCTTTCTTGTTTGAATCCCTCTAACACTTGGTCTGCTTGGCAGATCAAAGGTCTTGTACATTTTCCCTCACGGATGTTAAACTTCCTTTCCCAACTAGATCATGAACTCCTGAAGAGCAAGGACCACCTCTTCTCATCTCTTTTATCCTCCAAAACCCTTAACAAGTGCTGGTTCCTGGTAGCTACTGGCTTCTCACTAGCTGATTCATGATGGTCCAACAACGGATCCCTCTATAGAGAAATTCATTGTATTCAAAGCATTAGAGGAGACTTTTGATCCATATTTGGGGGTAGATATGGGTGGATTATTGTCCCACTTTACAGATAAAACAACTGGGGCTTAGATATATAAAATTATTTATCAAAAAATCAAATATATCCTGGATCTTTTTTTTTAAGATTTTATTTGACAGAGAGAGACACAGTGAGAGAGGGAACACAAACAGGGGGAGCGGCAGGCAGAGGGAGAAGCAGGCTTCTTGCGGAGCAGGGAGCCTGATGCTGGGCTTGATCCCAGAACCCTGGGATCTTGACCCGAGCTGAAGGCAGACGCTTAATGACTAAGCCACCCAGGATCCCCATCCAGGTTCTTGATACAGGCTAGATCTCCTGACACCAATGCAGTGGCCTTTTCCCAAAGTACAAGCAGCTGGAGAAGTGATGGATCAGGCTCTCTTTTCTATACCTGGAGCTCCCACTACAGTCCTAGTCACATAATAGGTGTTCAGTAAATGCTTTTTGAAGAACGAGCCCATAAACGAGCCATAAGGAACCATTTCCTCATAGGGAAGTTTCACTTGCTGATCCAGTAAGCAGAGATTCTCCACCCTTGGAAGCCTTTTTATACTTGCCTGAGATGGTTGAGGTGTTTTCCAGTCTGAAGTCAAGGAATTGGGGAAGATCAATCTCATGGTTCTCTCTCCACTATTTCATGGCATTTTTTCTTTATTTCTTACAGAGCCACTTTGTGGCATGTATGACAGCCATCTTAAACCAGATGGGTGACCAGCACTATTCCTTCTATATTGAGACTTTCCAGACCAGCTCTGAACTTGTGGTGAGTCAGCACGATGCTGGGTGGGGGGCAGTGTAGGGGAGGCATGTTACACTCTTGGCTCTTTAGAGTGTAGCACAAGAAGGTGTCCCAGTGGACCTTGTGTATATGTGTTTCTAGTTTACAAACATGTTCATGTGATTCCCTAGTTCTATTTTCCATTTAGGCTTGTGTTTACCGCTCCTGAAACATGTCTTCAGTCCCTGTCAGAGATGAAACCTGAATGTCTAGTCTAAATATGCCTCAACAAATGTTTGTTGATGAATCATGGACGTTTGGGGGCTTAAGAGCATGAGTGATAAAATCACACAGTCTAGGATTTGCATCCAGGATTTGTCACTGGAAAGCTATGTGATCATGGGCAAGTTACCTCTCTTAAGCCTCAGTTTCCCCATCTGTAAAGTGGGGATAAATTATGTCATAGTGTGGAGAAGGGGTTAATGAGAGCACAGTAGCTCTCACATATTAAATGCTCAGTAAAAGGTAGCTATTTCTATATTATGATCACAAATACATGGAGGAAGTTGGCCTTTGAGCCCCCTTGCTCTTCTAGCCTCTCAGGACTCATTTGTTACAGAACAGTCTGCATGTGGACTGTGGCCTATAGGTTCATAGCTCTGTAGCAGATGACTTATCAACATAAAGCCCAGCCCAGGCTGTCCTGGGGGTATAGCAGTCCCTTTGCCCTCAACATGGTCATGTCCATCATTGTCTCCTTACTACTACTAGAATTAGGAATTCTGCTGCGGAGGCTCACTTTCAGCTATCCTTGGAGTGGCCAAGGGAACTAAAATTGGCCCAATCTCAGAGAGTGGCCCATAAAAAGGGAATTATTAGGAAGCCAGTATCCTACTCTTTCAGCCATTCAGCAGAGAGATGGTGTCCTCACTGTATCAGCATTGGCAAGAAATGTAACCTTTTTCTGGATACACAAAAAATAAAACAAAAGGAAAGCCAAATAACCCAGGATTTTTCCCTACGTTATCTATGTCATGGAGCATGGAAATAGAAAGATTAGATTCCTAATTTTTGATCCTCAGTGGAAGGAAAGGTGAGAAGAAAGATAGAAAAAGGAATTCTTACTTATTGAACATATATACTCTGTTGCTAATTCTCACAACAGTATGACCTAGGAATTAGTGGTCACATTTTACAAGTCTACAATCTGCTTGCTCAGGGCCACATAGCAAGTATGTGGCAGAGTAGGATTTGAACTTCTCTCCTAATCCTTAGAGCATGCTATAGCTTCTCATTCAGAAGCTAGGTTTTTCATCTATGAGCTGGAGGCCTTCTCTGTTCCCATTTGAAGGGAAGGAGCTTGTGATGATATCCGCATTTCCCCAGGTGATATCAAGGATGAATAACAATACTCGCCATTGTCATGATCCAGCACTTAATGAGACTTACAGTGGGCCAGGCTCTGTGCTGAGCATCTTTTAGACAGTGTGCACTTAATTTTCGTAGTAATTCTGATGTGGAAATTGGGACTTAAAGCATTGAGGTAATTTTCCCCAGAAGCAAAGATTGCTGAAAAGGAACCAATCTCATTTCCAGAATTTTGCAATTTAGCTTAAAGTAGTGATTTTAAAATTATATTCCTCCCATCCTCACTATCCTCTATCATAAACACACGCACACACACACACACACGTCAACCACAGCTATTCTATTTTTACCTATTTTATATATTTGGTTCTGAGTAGTATTTTCTTTGGACAAACAATTATGCTGTTAAAATAATTTGAAAACCACTAGCTTAAGGAAAGAGCTCTGAATGGGTTTCCTATGGATTTTAACTTTTCCTGAAAGCAGACAGAGTATGATTTTGCTTCTTCCAGCTCAGGAGCGTCCACATGCCAGGGGTCCTGGTCTTGGTTATCTGGATTTGTCTTAAATTTGCAGTCTCCAAAGATGGAGCACAAGCTTGGTCTGCTGCAGTATCTGCTGGAGTGTGTTGAGGTCCACTCTCAACCTCTTTGAATGAGAAGTTGTATTTCCTCTAATCTACCCATGGATGTGTCTGTTATATATGAACTAGCTGTGTTTACAGTGTACTGATAATTAGGTGGTCATGGTAATAACTGTTTGCTACATGACCTGAGATGACTTCACAAAGTGTAGAATATTTCCTTCTTAAATACATATTTGAGAAGATGATTATAAAAATGTGACATCAATAAATGCATTTACTTCTTTCCTCCCAGAGACAGAATTACTAGTGCTTTGTTTTGAGAGTGTTTTCACATCCCATAGTCACATTCCACTTGTATTTGTTAAACCAGTCTTCTGGTAACCAACGTGAAGCTTCCATTTAAAAATCCACTGCTATTGGTTCCATTGGATTTATTTAATGAATGCCCTTTCCCTTTCTGCCCCTCTAAAAGTAAATAATAAAGAAAAAATTTAAACAGCCAACAAGGTCTGGGTCCTTCCAGTCAGTTCCTATGAAACAAGATGACAGGTGTGTTTTGCTTTACAATTTCAGGACTTCTTGATGGAGACATTCATCATGTTCAAGGACCTCATTGGGAAAAATGTGTATCCTGGAGACTGGATGGCCATGAGCATGGTTCAGAACAGGTGAGCGGCCACTTGTCCCTACAGCTGCATCACCCCAGCAATCACTTAAAAGAGCACTCATGGAGACAAGGTGGGGATACTTTCTCCCTGGTTAGATGAAAACGTGTAGCGGAGTCTTTCTTTCTACTTTGAAACCCTAGGGAACTCCACACCAATCTTGAATCTTCTTTTTTAAAAAATATGTCAGTCTTCATGACTTTGTATATACTGAGCTGGCTACCTCCCACCTTCTCCATTCTTTAAATACCAGTTAAAATAACATACTTTGTGGGGCACCTGTGTGGCTCAGTCAGTTAAGCTTCTGACTCTTGGTTTTGGCTCAGATCATGATCTCAGGGTAGTGAGATTGAGCCCCGACTCAGGCTCCCCTCTCAGTGGGGAGTGCTTGGGAGTCTCTCTCTCCCTCTGCCCCTCCCCCAACTCTCTATTTCTCTCTCTCTAAAATAAATAAATAAATCTTAAAAAAAAGAACATACTTTGTGAAGTCTTCCCTAAACTCTTGAGACAGTAGGTCAGCCTTATTAAAATTATAGTATTTTAACATTTATTCAAAATAATAAAATATATTTTGTGGCATACAGTAAAGTAAGTTTAGGAAGCATGGGATTATGCAGTTTTGAACAGATTTCTGTGCTGCAGGACTTCTTAGAGCCTTTAATATGCTGATGGGATTCTCTGAATGGAGGATTTAGGATACAGAATTTCACAAATGTATTTGCTAGTGGAACCATTTGGTGTGCATATATGTATGTCTCTGTGTGTATATATAATATCAGTTAATATCTCATAGGATTCCAGTGTAACCCAAGTATAACTCAGATCCCACATAACCCAGCACAACATTAGATAAAAGTAATTATAAGCAATTTCAGTCTTTAATGCTTTCTCTCAAATAGTATCATCTCATCAAAATGAAATTCAGATTATAACACTCAGCAGTATTTTCTGATATTCCCTTTCTTCATTTCTCTGGCTCTCAGTATCACTCACATCCCATGCTTTATCCACATTTCTCTTACAACCCTATTCTCAATTCCTATCCACAAACTCCGTTAAAGCTGAATCTTCTTGGCCCCTTCCCCTTTTTTCCCTCTCTCACTTCCCTCTGGCTTTGTATATTTTTAATCCTCCCCAAGAAAGGCCCTTCACTTTACACTGGCAAGAAGTTTTGTCTCTCTCTACCTATTGCCTTTGTTCTATATCCCAGAAACCAAGAATTGGCTGGCAAATGGAAATACTCCTAGAGGGTGGAAGAAGAGAAGTTGAAGAGGCAGAAGGAGAATTCTTCTTAGTAGGAGGAAAAGAGCAAAGACTATAAACATTATGTATTAATAATTTTGTCATTGGATACAGTCTGAGAATTTCTATCTCATGTATGCCTAAGAGCTGACTCCAGTCCTGGGTGGCCTCCATCCCTTACCGTCTGTCCTCTGAAAAGCTGTTCTTCCACTAATTTGATGCCTAAGTGCCTAGCCATGTGACTCGATAGACTCGCTTACCTGCAGTACTCTTGAGGCCAACTTTAGGGGCTGGTGAAGGGGAGAAGAGTTTTGTCAAGGCAGAAAGAAGTTTCTGGCTTGCTGTGCAACAGAACTTATGGTGGGAGGAGAAAAATCAGCCCAGCAACAAAATGTCAGAATTCTCAATCTGGGCTAACCTTGCCCTGATTCTCCATGTTCACATCACACAGATGGGAGTCTGGATTTTGCAATGATTAAAGTGTTGGTGGGAATTAGGCCCAGGTCACATGACAAATCAGAGACAGGCCCCTTCCTACCCCTATGTCAGGACCAGCTTTCTGGGCCTGTACCCTGTGCAGTTGCCTAGGGCCCTGCACTCTAAAAGGCTCCACGTTTGCTTTAATGCCCTCCTTTTGCCATCTTGAAATTCTTAATAATTTTTGAATGAGGAGATTCACATTTTCATTGTGCACTGAGCTCAACAAATTATGAAGCTGATAGTACCTTATGTCAATGTTCAGTCGTCTTGTATTACAGTAGTAGTCAGCTCCTGAACTGTATGTGAATCCTTTTACTGTTTGCCAGCTGACCAATAATGTCTTCAGGTTTTGCCAAAATACATGAAGCACCCATGTGAGTCCTCTTCAACTCACCCTGTGCTTTGGATATATTCAACTATTCACTGTTATCTACCATTTCATTTTTCTATGACTTTGCATAAACTATTGCTCTCCTCTCTTCTAGACCAAACTCAACATGAAAGCATCCTTCAAATTCTTCACCCTGTCATCTCTCCTTTGTGGATGCTTCTAAAACTCTCTCATGGTAGGAGAATGTGTTTTCTTCCCTGTATTTCCATACATGCCCATATTATGGCACTTATTCCACTGTGCTATAATTTTATCTTCGTATGACTATTTCTGCCACTAAAGAATGGGCTTCTTGAAGGCAAGCACTATGTCTAATTTACCTCTGTGTTTCCAGCTCCTAGCACAAAGCCTGACATTCATAAATACATATAATGAACTCTGTGTATCCAATAGCTATTTACTGATTAGAATTTTTAAAGAAATCTAGTTCAAATCTGCCTAAGTAAAAAGAGAGTTTATTAGCTCAGAGTTACGTCTTCAAGCATGGATGTATCTAGGTGCTCAAACAGTGTTGTAAGAAATCTGTATGTCTATCTTTGCTCTTTTTTTGTTGACTTTATTCTCAGGCAGCTGCTCTCTTTGTGGTGGGGAAAATAGGCTCTAGAAATTCTAGAGATATGCCTTGAATTAGCAAGCCCAATAGGGGTTGAAAGAAAAGGTAGAACAAGTGTCCCCAGGCTAATCTTTAAAGCTCTGGCTTAGGCTACATGCCCATTTATAAATTTCTGTGGCCAGGAAAGTGAAATTTGCTATTTCATCAGGCTTGGGTCATGTGATTCACTTTGCAACTGGGAGGCAATTGTTCCCTCTATCCAAACCGCAAAGCCTGGGAGCAAAGGGCGGGGGCGGGGGGGGGGTGGCGGTAAGGGGAGTAGTTATCCAAAGGAAAAGTCTAGGAGTTATTACCAAAAGAAGAATTGGATGATGGATAGGCAAATAAATGCCCAGACATCTCCCACTTACACAAGGTCAGGAGGATGGGAGCCCAGAGAGGCTGGAGCCCTGACCTTCTGAGCTGCCTACAGTCATCTTGGAGGAAGCATGTAGAACAGTCTGGAGGAACATCCCCTCCTGAAATCCCAGCTAGCTATGGACTTTGGTCTTTTTTGGAGGGATAGGCCCCCAGAGATGATATAATAATCCTTGGTTTCTTTATACTTAGAAAACTACAATATAATTTTCTAAAGGATCTAAGAAAGCGGAATTGTCTCCTAAATAGCAATATTTGCATCCCTTAAGGCTCAGCTAAGTACTTAAGTCTCTACATTAAAAAAAAAAAAAAAAAAAAAAGGTAGACTCAGAAATACAGTTGGATTTCAGACTTCTGCTACTTCTCTTTCTTGGGAAGTCATTTAATCTCTTGGACTCTCAATTTCCTGATCTGTAAAATGGGGATTATTTATAATGTTCATTTCATGGTATTTTTTTGTGAGGATAGAATGAGTTACTCCTTAACACAATGCTGGTACCTCAGAAAACTCATTGAATAGATGCATTGCCATCTCCAGGAGTAGACAACAAACTTAGCCTTGGACTAGAGAAGGATGTGCCTAATGTCAACCAGAAAAATGATTGTTGTTCTCCTTGAAGGGCACATGGATTAGTTAGTAGATGTCCTTCATCTTCAGTCCACAATGGAACACTTGAAATTTTCTCACCTTTTTTACATTTGGTGTGATGTTATGATAGCTAACATGTGTTGGCACCCAGATCTACTGCTGTTGTGAATACCTTACATGTATTAGTTTATTTAATCTTCACAACAACTTTATGATGTAGCCTGTTGTAATCCACATTTTATGTATGAGGAAACTGAGGCACAGAATAGATGAGTAACTTCCACAGTATTGCATTGCTAATAAGAAGCTATGCAGAGTCCATGTTCTTGATCTCTACTGCTTCATCCTATAAAATAGTGAGGTCATCTTATGAAGGGCATTGTCCAGATGTGCCCACTGCATATTTAGTGGCTCAACAAACTGAAAGAGGCCCAAAGAGTTAGCTTGCCCAAGATCTTGTGGCTGGTCAGTGAAAGATTTCAATGTAAATTGGACAAACAGAATATGCAGCATGGTTTAGCCCAGGCCAGTATTCTCCAGAACATTTCTACTTCCTATGCTGGTTAGTATGTACTTTACAATTTCCTTCCTTTCTTCCTTCCTTCCTTCCGTATTATTTACATATTATTAAAACCTACATGTTTTTCTAATTTCTCTATTATCACTTATGATTTATGTATGTATGTATGTATTAGCCATATAGAATTTATTTTTCTGCTTGTTGGAGGGAATGGAGTTTTCCAGAGTTGAATGTCTTCTCAGCTATGTACTTTGTGTATGCAGACATAGTGATATGTCTACTGCAAGAAATGCCTTCTGTTAGAACATTTTTTTTTTTTTTTCCATTTTGGTAAGACACAGCTTTCAGTAAGATCTGATTTACAGGACACGGTAAATTTTTAAATGATGAAGTTCTTTATAATATAGTAAACTAACAAAATTATACCTAGGAACCTCTTTTCTCCCCTTCCATCTGTACCTCGATCTGGAAATCCAATGTTTTGAAGGGGCTTGGGGATTTGGACACATCCCTAAAGCATCTCAAAAAAGGAATCAACCCACACATATTTATTGAGTATCCTGGTCAGGTAGGGCTCTAGGGAGTGGGCCTGTCCCTTGGTCCTGGAGGGCAGGGGGCTTATGGTCTAGTTGGTGAGACAGTAAATATGCCCATGGAAATGTGGCCAATTGCTACAGTCACTGCAATGAGTTCAGAGCACAAAAAATACCCAGAGGAGGTAGGATTTACCACTCCTAGAGTCTATATCCTGCCTCCACCATTTAATAGTTAGCTGACCTTGGGTGAAGTTCTGTGATTATTATGACTCAAT